TTCCTTTGAAAAACTACTTTTCCTTACAGTTGAGGGTTGGAACCTTTGGTGTTACACAGCAAAATAAAAACACTAAATCACCACAATACACCAAAACACTTTTACTTTTACACTGGACGCGCGTTTCGCTAACCATGTTAGCATCATCAGCAGATGATTATAAACTGAGTTTATAATCATCTGCAGATCTCACAGGACACTCATATCTAACCAAATCATATATTATCAGAAATGAACCCCCTTTAAAATGCACCTTATGCAATAACTTAATGACAATGAGCCACATTCTTTTTGAATGCTTACCTGTTGGTGCCTCCCATAGGTCTAGATTCTTTAATGCTGTTACCTATGAGAATATTTTTGCGCCTTTTAACATTTCGAAGATTGGTAAAGTTATGGAATTCTTAGACAGCATCAACATGGCGAAGGAACTTTAATTTCTAACTTAAAATAATTTAAAATAACCTCATATTGAGTGAAGCTTGTTTTTGAGCGCTAAAAAAACACCGCTGTTGACGCGCTCTATAAATCAATACCTCTCTATACAGAATTGTTTATACTCGTATAAAAGGAACTGAAAAAAGTTTGATTGATCTTGAGTATTGGGTCAATAGTACTACAGAAAACTTTTATAATTATTGTATAAGAGTACTCTTAGCTAATATGATCCATCCAAGGATACTTTCATAATGTACCTATCTTAACATCTGTTTAATAAAAATTAGATATATGAAACCATCATGGCAATGACATCATTTTGTCAATCAATAGTTTTAGTAAATCAATCCTATTAAATATTTTTAATAAATCTATGTACGTTATACATAAAACTATGCAACATGTTAAAATTTTCTATAAAACTAGAGTGACTAAAAAAATATTTATTGCATACAAATCTTGCAAAAAAAATTTTCAACATGGCGACATTTCCGGAAATACTGATGTTGTCTAATAAAATAACTACTAAATATAAAATACTGTCTAATTTAAATGTATATTTGCAGCTACAAGAAATACAGGTACATTACACCTTTTGGCAAATATAAGATGGACAAGGCATTCTCTAAAGCGGCCCATACATTATCAAACAAATTGCGCAACGCAGGCTGTTGTGCAACGAGTTGCCAATGTATGATAGTGTTTGATGCGTTGCGCAATTGTTTGATGAGTTTCAAGAATATTTGAATTCTTTTGTGCAACAGGACTGTTTGCGCAACGCGTTGTGTAGTGTATGTGTGTGTTGCGTTTCGTTGTGCAATATTTTAGTTCTTTCATCCAAATTCTTTGTTTTCTTTTTCGTTTTTTGGTATCATCAACATCATCTAGGGTATATACGATAATAATTGACGCAATGGCAATTGAGGACATGATTGTTTCTCAAACAATGCACAACTTTTAATAAAAAGTTTGATCAAAATTTTACTAAGTGCATGGGTGAGGCAGTTGTGCATCGCTTTGTTGCGCAACTTGTTTGATAGTGTATGGACCGCTTATCAGTTGTGCAACGCAACGTTGCGCATCGCTTCGTTGCGCAATTTGTTTGATAATGTATGGGCCGCTTAAGTAAGGTAAAATATAAAACTATTCATAACGTACAAGGAATCAAAATATATGATACTAACTTTATTTTGAACTGGCTACAAATACAAATAACATAAACTAAAGTGGCTTCTAAAAAAACTCAGATCATAAAGACCATAAAAAAATAACTTGAAAATATTGCATCCTCAATAAAATTTAAAAGTTTCCATAATACTTTCTTAATCCCAGTTCTGTCGAAAATATTAAATTATGATCGAATAAAACTTATATATTATAGCCCTGCAGCTTCTATATACGCACATACATACTTTGTATGAATTAAATACAATAATAATACCACTGCCCAAATAAATACTTTCACTAGACGACACGACTTGGCCTAGAAATCTTTTAGAAATGATTTAATTCAAAACATCACGAGACTGATATTTGATCTATCAAATTAGTATATAAATGCGCACTGTCATGTTTAATTTATATATTTTTTATTCAGTGAAATTAAAATAGATCAAAAGTACACAAGTAAGAACAGAAATTTGCAAATAATAATAATTCCTGTATTGAATTCCTGTTGAGTAGGACCATACCATACCGGAAAACCATATCATAACGTGGTATATTCCAAAACCAAAGCAGGAACAGGAACAGGACAGGTATTTGGGCCGAAAAGTAAATACTCCGAACCAATGGGCACGTACCACAGCATAATTCAGACAGAAATCTACGGCTATCAAAAGATGCGTATAACTTATCTTAGATAGGAACTATCGGAAACAAGAGATAGCCTCTTATTCAATAGTCAAGCAGCCTTAAGAGCGATCAACTCAGTTCCAACAATCAATGCGGAGTTGGTCTAAGAATGTTTAGAGAAGCTGAACAAATTAAACAAAGAAAATAAAGTTCTCCTATTCTCGGGTGCCAGCCCATAAGAAGGTAATGAGAAAGCAAGCGATCTATCTAGGAAAGGAGCGAACACTCCACTAACTGGACCAGAGCCTTTCTGCTTTAAAAAGTAGTAGTAGTTTAAACCAACTTACAACAGAACTCCAACGATTTAAGACACTCGAAGAAATTCCTCAAGAAATACGATCGAGAAAAATCAAATATTTTTCTTGATTTAAGTAAGTACAATCTTCGGGTTGTCACGGGTTTTTTTAATAAGGCACTATCTCCGCAATGAACACCTCGCTAGATTAAAACTAATAAGAAACAACAGCGAATGCAGATTCTGTGGCGAAAATGGAGAACTTTAGAACACCTCATCACTGAGTGTGTTGAGACGACAACCATTCATGCCATAAACTTTGGGTACGACTCATATCGGAGACCATTTACAGAGAACTAACCTCTCAGAACCTCTGTAAAACCGTCTCAGATACTGGCTTTACAGCACTTATACAAAAGTGCTTCGTTTGTCCGTTAGAGGTGATATTTGGCACGCTCTCCATTATAGTGGACAGCAAACTGCAGGAGAGAGGATTAGGCATTAGATACAGATACGACAGCGGTCTGTTCAACATAAAAAGACTCAGGGCAAAAACACGTACAAAATTAATCACAGAACTTCAATACGCTTATGACTGCACTCTAGTTGCAAACACGTTACAACAATTACAAGAAATGTTGAATAGATATGTGTACCTGGGCATACGAGGCTTTGGGCCTTAAGCTAAACAACGACAAAACCAAAATCATGTGCACTCCCCCAGAAGATTATAACAATGCTATAAAAATCGGAGAGGAACTATTGGAATATGTAGCGGAACTCAATTACCTCAGCATGCAGTTTTATTTCGGAAAAGGCCAATATCGACTCTGAAATCAGCACAGGATTAGCAGCGCCTCAAGAGCATTTTGGAAATTAAAAAACAAGGTTTTCTACAATCATGACTTGAGTACAAAACGAAACTTGCAGTGTACCGAGCAATTATAATCCCCACCATGTTATATGGGAGCGAAACCTGGGTGCTGTACTGCCGACACATGAACGCATTAAACAAGTTGCAACAGAGACACCTTAGACAACTCTTAAGAATCCGGTGGTTCCATCTGTCTCAAACGTATCGGTCCTTAAAAAAAACTAACTGCGAGAGTATTGGAGTCATTGTTACAAAATCCCGCTTAAGATGGGCTGGTCACGTATGCAGAATGCAAGAAAACCGCATATCAAAATCTCTGCTTTACGGTGAGCTTGTAGACGGTAAGAGGAGGCCGGGTGGACAACTCAAAAGGTACAAGGACATTTTCCACGAAAACTTAAAGGGAATTAACATGCAGAATGAGTGGAAAGAAGCAGTTCGCAATAAAACTCAATGGAGAAGAACTGTAAACTCAGTTAACAGCGACAATCAGAAAGTAAAGAGGCAACAAAGCAATGAGATTTTTGAATGTCCGAGTGCGGTAGGCAAATAACATCACGTATCGGGCTTTTCAGTCACAGAAACGCTTATGAAAGAATACGCCTTCCGTGACCATCTTCTGTTGCGTGTCGAATACTCGTCAGCGAGGAATGGCAGTATGTATAAGTATGTAGAGGGCATCAATCAAAAATAAACAGGAACGTTAATTAATTTAAAAATGATTAATTTTTTTAAGCTTTTTATGAAGCTTACCCTCAAATATAATTTTTGATACTAACATAAAATTCCTTATTTTCGCCAACTAGATTGTTAAAGCATGATAGATTTTATGCGCCTGCATAACTTAATGTTACAAAAAACATTTTTCAGCTTTGAAAAAATATCTTTTTCCTCAAAGAGTAATCACGGTGGCGATTTTTTACAAGAGACAAAAATGTAGTAAATACTAGAGGGACCATTTTATGAAAAGAAAATCGGTCGATGCAGTTGGAAAATGTTTATTCTAAAATTTATGTTGGGGTAGGGGTAGTTTTTACCCTTCCCGTACTTTTTCTTGAATTTTGTAAAAGTAAAATTTTAGAGCACTTAGCAAAACATAGACACCCAAAATTTCATTCAAATCGGAAAAACGGTTCTTAAAATATCTGAAAAAATGTGTTTATTTTTTCAAAGTTTGATGCCCTCTAACGGACAAACGAATCACTTTTGTATAGAGGTAAATTTTGTCCAATGAACTTATTTTGAGTTCAAAATTACGTAGTAGTTCTATGTCCAGGGAATATTGGGACACCCTGTATATTTTTTTTTCTCGCATAAAAAATATTTTAATAATTTTGCTTCCTTTTATAATTTTAGTAAGTTTGTATGTATTTAAGAAAAAAATATCAGTCTCTTTTTACTTTACTTAAAAAATATGATACTGAAGATTTGTTTGTTGAGTTGATTAATGGAAGCTCCCGTAGTAACAGTTCCAACAGTATCTATTTTATTGTTCATCTGTTTATCATGTTAATAAGTTTTAGATTAAAGAAAGAATGATGATACTGACTGAACTTGTTGAATTGATCAAAGATAGTATAAGGCAATTAAAAGACTATGTTACGGTGACAAATGTATTTTTTTAAAAAACATAAACTATAAAAAAAACTTTATACAAAAAAACAATGTGTTTGATGTTGTTACGATCACTCGATGTTGTTGTTGACAGTCGTTGAGATGCATCATGACCCGTGGTGTTGTTCTTGTTCGTGTTGTTGTTTGAGATGGAATGTGACATTAGTTACACTTATTCAGTTCTTCTTCGCCCGTTGTTAACTTTAGTGAGGAGCCCCGTAGCTATCAGAAGGAGCGCTGTAGGAGGAGCTAGGTCCCCTGGGGTACCCAGTGAATCCAGGAGCGTAGGACACCTGGTTGTACTGAGCGACCTGGATGGCTTGTTTGATTCCTTCCAAATCGATACCCACAACTCTGTATTGCAGGCTGGGAGCTCCGTATTGTGGGGAGGGGGCTCCGTATTGGGATGAGGGAGCTCCGTAGGAGGAGCTGAGTCCGCCAGATCCGAAAGAGCTGGCAGATGAAGAAGCAGAGCTCTGTTCTTCTTTCAGGAGGATCTGGCGGACTTGTTCCAACAGAGCGGGGTCCACGGAAGCTCCTTCGGAGGTCTGGTAGCCGGAGGAGACTGCTGTGTAGCCACCGCCTCCACCACCGCCACCGCCTCCAAAACCGCCACCTCCGCCGAGGCTGTAGCTGCTTCCGCCGCCTCCGCTAGGTCTGCTGTAGCTGTAGCCTGAAGGAGGTTCGGCTACGGCCACTGCCGCGAGGGCAAAGGCGAGTATCTGCAAAAGAAGAAGAAACAAACGTTAACATAAATCCAGTTATAATAATAGCATAATTCTATTTATTCTTAATTGTCAAGAAAGAATGTCGTGTTTAACGAAAAAGCAGATTTAATGATCTAATAAGATTCATCAGTTACATGTAGAAGTCCAGGACCCTTTTGCGTAGCACAAGAATTACAAAAATTTTCACACAATAGCAGATGACCAACAAATCTTTAGAATAGTTGAAATAGTATGCCGGGTGCATCTCAAAAGTGGCTCACCCCTATAACCTTTTTATTTTTTTTTAAATAAAAAAACGAGATTTGGTATGTATATGACATAAATTAGAATTGACTGCCGTGTTCAATTGTTTCTGGTCTCTTCCTGTTTCACCGGAAATGACTACAACTTTTGATTTTTAAATGGTACCCCGGGTATATTTTTACTTTATTCGATAGAAAATGATGGCACTCTGAATAGAATGACATATCATATGTCAACTTTTGACATTTTGGTTTAAAAAATATTGTATTTTAAATTTCAATCTAGAGTGCAATGGCTGTGTTAAAAACAATAATTTTTAATCAAGGTGCCTTGGAAAAACAAATGTTATCGTCTAATGTTTATCGTGTCTTGTCCTGGCCGGTTAAAAGATGCCCAAATCGTATTTTCAATTATATCTCATGTTTATCAATTGGAACAAGGGTGGCTCATTAACATATTTGAAAAAAGCATTTTTTACAAATAATTTGGCACCACACTTGGTATTTCGAGTCAAATTTTCGTTGTGAACAGCATGTTACAATTTCAAATAAACCATATGCGAAACTACCAAAAGTTAACATATAATATCTCATTCTATTCAGAGTGTCATTTTCTATCGAATAAAGTAAAAAAAACCGAGGGTGCCTTTTAAAAATCAAAAGTTGTAGTCATCTCCGGTGAAACAGGAAGTGACCAAAAATAATTGAATACGTCAATCAATCCTAATTTATGTCAAATAATAACATAGCAAATCTCGTTTTTTATCTGAATAAATAAAAAAGTTATAGGGATGAGCCACTTTTGAGACGCACCCGGTATAGGACAAAGATGCTGGAAGTAGTTCAAAACTGTAATGGGTGTACTAACACAACCTTGCAAGCTTAATAGACATTTCATGCTGATGAAATTGATAGACGAAGTCACGTGCAAATTCTGTACAACTAGAGAATCTAGACTTAATAAGAGGACCACAATCTGTAAAGGGGTGGAGGAATATGCCAATCGACCCCGCATAAAATCAATTTTGGTTATTAGAAAAACGTCATCAGCAAATCTTAGTATTCGTCATCTAATCTTTAAGACCATTGCTATTCCAATCAATGTTGAAGATAATCTCCAACGTTTCTGTAAGTTTGAAAAAAAAATGGTTTGCCCGTGTAACTCTTATTTACAGTGACTATATACAAGATATATGTATATAGTAACTGAGATATCTTGTCTATCACGAGATATCTTGTATATAGTCACTGTACTCTTAGTGTTCACCACAGTCCCTTGGTAGATATAGATCATTCCAACTTGGAAAATTCGAACAACTTTCGTTGCACGTCATCAATGACACCATGCGTCGTCTTATGAAGTTTGCTGGTGGTCGAATTATGAAGTGCAAGGAAAGTTATTTTAATTTCCCTATATCTTATATTGTCTGTATTAAGTTGGACGGCGCATTTTGAATCATCCTGTATTGATAACACATTATTAGAAAGAGTAGGTGGACAAAATAATGTCAAGTTAATTTTGATGAAAAGATGTATTACTATTATCAAGAATAATTACTGAAGGAGATCTAGAACTTGATTGCGAAAACTCGAACTAAAAATTGAACGAAGAGTATGAACAACAGATGGGAAAGATCATTAAAACCAGTATTACTGTCGGCGTTTCTGTCCTACTAACCACATCATGCTCTTAAAACTGTAATTATAGTTACGTAATGGGTAATTATATTGTTATTATTACATGAAATCCGAGAGATAGCATCATTTAAGAATGAAGAAGTACAATACAGAAAAATACAAATAAAGGAGATTTACCATTGTTTTTTTTTGTTTTCAATTAAGTTAAAATAGAATGAGACTGTAGCAGAATAATAAATTAAGAATAAACTAAAAAGTAAAGTAAAGTAGTGCTCTGATTCCAACCAGCCAAGGAAATTTATATTGAATAAAATTTGTGGTTGTATATAAAGCATATTAATAAAAATAATTTAATCCAAAATGTAATTCAGAGATATTTTTTTTGAAAATGCAACCAGGTACCATGACACGAGCACATTATTTACTTAAAATATCACTAAACTATGTTGTTAAACAATTAATTGCAGACCAGGAAGAACAAAGATAATGGGCAAGTTTCACTTCTGCCTTGATTTTTATAGTGCTGGTACTGTAATAAGGTTGTCTCAATTTAAAAAGTATCGATAGTTTCATATATTATCCAATATTTAAAATATATCATTTACAATAGATTTTTTTTTGTGAATCAACTAAACACATGGAAGAAATTCTAAATACCCTTGAGTCCAAGCATAATTGATTGAACAAAATATTTTTTCGACTAACTGGACACTGAATCTAAGCTGACAATTTCTATATTATAGAAAACTTCAAACAATATACTATAAAAATCACAGTAATAATGATATATGATTACAGTTTCCGAGAAATACCAAACCTAAACCATAAACATAGATGATTCTTAACATATATGTAAGTAAGATGAAAAAACAATAGAACGTATATTACTAGACACTACTAATTATATAGTAAAACAGAAAAAAACTTCCAGAACTCCACACTATTTGTTATCGATATCGATATTTTAATATATAAAGAAACGATATCGATATTTCTACATATCGATATTTTACACATCCCTACAACGTGGTAATTTCGAATGCAAATGTAGAGAGAGAAAAGGAGATAAAGCATTCTAAAATCCGGGTCAAACGATGAATCGATTTCAGCAATAAACAGATAATGGAGTAATTATGGGAAGAACGTGGTTGGTTCATCAAGAAGCACTTTCACAACAAAGACATAACGCGCTAGAGGAGACTTTCTCACAGCCCGCTATGACATCAACTAGGAAGCAGTATTACTATCGTACTTTACACGTTAAAAAAACAGGAAAAAACAATTTGACAGTCATTATAACATTAATTTCGAGCAGTTTTTTTAACTATAAATATAGTATATAGTTTGCCAAAGCCCTGGAACTACATGATGAGTTATAACTCAAGAAAGACTATAGTTTTACTAAAAATACTATAGGTTATCAAATGTCACAGTTATTGGTATAAACTATATTTCTTTTTAATGGAACACCCTATATAGCCCATATATTTCTGATTTCAAAATTATATCACACTTACTATATGCTATAAGTTATATGTCCAGTTAAAGCTAATAAATTTCTAATATATAAGATGTCCCATTTAAAAAATACAGTTTATACCAATAAATGTGTCTTACACGAACTAGCGAATTATATTTTTGGTAATACGTAGTAAGACTTGACAAAAATCCTAAAATTCATTTTTTTACTCGACGTTCTATCTCCAAAAATAAAAAAGTTAAAGCCTATTAAAAGTATGAGAAAATAAAATGTTGACTCTCTCTATGTACAGAGTGATTTAAAGTAGGTACTTTAGAGGGTAATATTATCATGAAAATAATAAAAAAAAATCAAATAAAAATCCGAAGTCACTAACGGTTAGACTGAAAGTCTACCAGGCTAATAGGATGACTTAAATAAAGAACTTTTATAAGTATTTCCTGTTTTGTAAGTTACTGAGATATCTTATTGTAATAGGGTTATTGATATACCCGGTATAATATGTAATAAAAATTAAGATAAATATAACCGAATTCAAAAAAGTAAAATGATAATGAATCTTGCGTATAGATTATAAAAAAAATCGATGAGAATTTTGATATAGTCCTGTAAGAGATGGATGAATCACACACCAAATGAACTATAAGTGAAAAAAGATTCCAAATGTTAAGAAACACATAAAATAAAAATAAAACTACAAAAAATTAGGTCAATATTCAAAAACAAATAAATAAAAACTAGTTATTTTGAAACAATTTCATTATTAATATTTATATTACATTAACCTTGATTATTTAGAACATATTATTATGACATATTTTATATTAACATAGAAACCATTAAAAAACGATAAACCAAGTGAATAAAAAATATCTGATAATAAGCACAACCAACTGATACCCAGTCTGCCAGCTTAGATCATTTGCATATAAATCTGTGTACGTCATAGATATTCGCTCATCTTATGTCACATGTCAAATTCAGAGCTCCATTAAAACTTCGTCTAAAAATACGATCGACACTTACTAGCGCTCTGACTGCTGACATATGAACTAGAATAGGGGCTGCAGGTAAAAAGCGAATAGTCAAAAATAAGCGAAGATGGTCAGCTGGTAGTAAATAAGCTGTGGTAATAAGTAAACACCAGAGATACACCAACATAAAGATATCAAACTGGGATAAAATACCAAGGCAATGTAAAATTATTATTTAACTTCTAATAAGTTTAAAACCATCTTATCAAATTTATTTTAAAAATTAGAACTATTTTCCCGTGAATAACTCGAATCGAATTTTCAACATTTATGTTTATTCCTGTTTATCTTCTGTATATTCCTGTTATCCTTCTTTATGCTGTGTTAAATAAATTGAAATATTTGATAAGTTGGATAAAAACTACTTAATTTGCCAAATACACCGTACGATAAAAAAAAGGCGTCAATGACGGCTTAGGAATGACAGTCGATAATAATTTTGGCGAGGTCAATCTCTAGACGTCATTTACTAAAAATTAACATAAAACTTTTTCAAAATTTAACACTAGTTATAGAAACATTAAAAAAGGATAGAACGTTTCCAGACATACAAGTCTATTTCCAAAAAACTCTTTTTTCTTGAAATTTAAACTACATCATTTAAAAATCATTTTTACTCAATATAAAAATAAATAATAAGCGCCATTAAAAAATAAAAAAGAGTACAGGCCCAGTAAATGAAGTCTAGAACTTGAGCCAACCGTCTTTGACACCGTTTTTTTTCGATAGTGTGCTATTATCTACTGTAAAACCGTCTGACATATAACCCAGTAGGGGTTATATTATTAAAGATAAAACCTCTATAAGTTCGAAATCTTTTAAGGTAGTACTAGTAAAATCTGAATAAATCGTTTAGCTACATATTTAAAAACATTAATTTGAGTATTTTTTCACTTTCATCTATCTCTAAAGATATCTAAGTATTATTATTGTAGTTTCTCCATGGTACTACATTCGTTCGGTACATTACCCATTCTACTTAGCAGAAAGAAAAAACAACATTAAGCAGAAAACACAATGTAAATAAGAGGTGAAGTACCTACATAAATTTTAAGGAAATGAGTTTGAAGCTACCATATTTAGCTTTTAGAATTTTGCTTGTTTGTATAAGCTTCTATTTCCGTTGTGTAAATAGCTATTTAGATAGTTTTCTGTTAAGTGTTAACTTTCTATAAACCGGAGATGTTCAAAAGAATTGAGTGTGCATATGTTTAAGAAAGTAAATAGTCTTATACCGAAATTTACAATATTTATTATGTACATATTGCTTACGTCCTTACACATTTATTTTTATTTTCAAAACGATTTGCAATGGGAAATTGAGAATTTGATATGATCATGGTACTAGAGTCATATGAAGTGTTTACCCTGCTGCTTTATTGGGATGTTATTAACTACTCCACTATATGTTGCTATATAATCGATACCAATTAAACTTTTAGTTACGTAATCGAGGACGCGATTTTTAAATTCATTGTTGCCAACCATGGACATATTCAGCGCCGGCCTGACTAACTGGAATTTAAATTTCCCGCTGAGAATTCAGCTGGTAGCTCTGCTGTAAAAAATATCAAGCCACATGCCACATTTATTTATTTATTTCCCGACATTGTCCTTCGTTTTGGCACTTTAGTTTTGTATTACGTGTTTTTGGTTTAAATGAATTATGTTGTCATACTTAAGCTTAAAAATTTTTACTAGCAGATTTTGCAGTCGAACATTGTTCTTTTTAGAATTTTTTTTTTTGTGCGAAGTGTATATAGATAGCTTAATAGCCAATGCAAAAACTCATCGCAACCTTATTAGAATATTTTGAAGGGGAAAGCGGTAATAATGGCCCTCTATGTCCCTTAAGTGCTATGTTAAGGAGATGAGTTTTCCTGTATAAGTAATAACTGTTTATATATTTATAATTAATTCATTTTTGTTTCCTAAAATATTTTGATAGGAGGAAATATGTAAATTCGGCAACGCTGTGCCGCTCAAGCTTAATCACGTGACTAATAGTTTATTTGGTATGATCTATAGGTATACTTTCACCCTTCAACAAATTTTGAACTTAAAAACTTTTTGTTTTTAGTGTATGACAATTGTCAATTTAGAAACTTTTTACCTACTAACTACTAAAAATAAAACTCAATAGTAATAATCCCATTAGAATAGGATAATAAATTCCTAAGTGGGTCACTGTCAACATTTGATTGATTATTAACTTTGAGTCGATTAGTGCCAAATTTCAATTTTCAGAGTAAACAGATTTTGAAAATAAAATCGTTTATATTTCGAATGAATCTTCAATTCTAATGCAATTATTAAAATTAAATTTTATTTTTCTATTTGTTAACTGCTCTACGGAGAAAAAAAAAGCGTTGAGACAAAAAAAAATAATTTAAAATTAGTGGTAAGATAAACAAATAGAGTACAATATTGCAAGTAAAGTAGCTGTTTGAATACCCTGTATATGACACCTAAATAAAAATTCTACTAAAAAACTCGATTTGAGAAGTACAATTCACATACTAAATTTCAAACTTTGAGTACGAATTGTTTCTGAAATAGATCTATAATATTGTGATTATGGTCCACCTTGTATAACCAAAAAATTATGCAGGGAAACGTCATATCAAAATTTATTTTACAAAAAACCTCTAATTTTTTTTAACAAGCGCTTATTCATTTACGCCCTATTAAATGTGTATATTGGTATCATTATTAATTCATTTTTTTAAATAAGCCATATATAAAAGAAATATTAATAAGAAATGTTTATTGGTATCTTTTACGATATAGGTACATAAAATGGGTCCTTCAAATTATTTAAAATGTTTTCCAAAAATTTGATTTTTGTATTTTGACTTGTTTTTTTTCTTTCATTCTGTATATTTCTTATAACTGAAGAGGATACGCCTCTTGAAACGTTAAACAATATATTAACATACAGGGTGAGTCTTGAATGAGTGCACATATTTCTAGGGGTGGATCCCAGGATCAAGTCTAAAATAATGTTGAAAATTTTGTAATTTAGAAAAATGTGGATTTTTTAATTTTCAGTTAAAAAACATAATATATTGATAATATGGCAATATAGATAGTAAATTAGATTTAAAAGATCGAAAACCCAGAAAAAACCTGGTGGTTCTGAAAATTTAAGAATTTTTTTTTCTAAATTTCAAAGTTAAATATCTTTCTTGTAAATTTAATCTACTATCTATGTTGCTATACATATTAACATATTATGAAGATATTATGTTTTTTAATTAAAAAATAAAAAAAAATCAAAATTTTTTTCAAAAAAATTTAAATTTTGAAAAAAAAATTTCGCGGAAAGTCCTCATAGTCGTGTTCTCGGGGTCAAAATATACTACCCCAAAAATATTTGTACCTACTTATATAAGACTCACCCGTATATTTGATTATAATTACCAAAAACCCCTATAGAAAAATTTCAAGCCAATGTTTAGTTTTTTTTTTAATAATTATTCAGATTAATTTATAAAAAGAAACATTTAAGATAAAACAGGCTTATTAATCCACCACATTTAAATAAAAACACTTTATTTAAATAACCTAAAGTTCCCAAATTTATCTTTCATCTTATATTTTTTTTAGTGCAAAAGACTTTAATTTAAAATAAAAAAAAATAAAATTTGAATAAAACAACTTAAAAAAATCACTTATTTAACACAGCCAAAAAAAACACTACAAGAACGAATCACTACATTAAGAGAATATAAACTTTTTTTAAGCGCACTTTTTTAAATCACTTCTCATGTTTGTATAAGTCGATGATACCAAAAAAAATCGGTCGCAATAAAACGATGTGTGAATGTGAAGTATACAAGACCACTTACCACGCCAAGTGAGTTCATGATGCTTGAGTGATGTCGGGTCTAGTGGTGACTGTACCGAAACACGGGCACCCGCCATGTTATATACTCCAAAGCGGTACCCGAAGAGGGTGGGAAGTTGGCACTGCCGCTGGTAATCTTTGGTTCGTCTTCTTCGGAAGATGCAAACCACTTTCACGGGTACGCACACCGATACACCCAAAAAAATAATATACACCTTTAAAAATATCATTCAATATTTCATACATAGATATCTATTTGTAGCAGTGTTTCAATCTATAGAAATTGTTACAGTTTCAAAAACTTCTATTACCTTTAAATTCGATAGATCATTATCATCATCATCATCATTTTCAGCTTATTCAACCATTTCCAATTAAAAGAACCCATCTGTGCTCTAAGCTCGCTAATCTCGGCATTTCATCCGCCGAAGGCATTTCATCAAGATTAGAGACTTATCATTCTTCTATGTTGGTCTTGTGTGTACCCAGATCTTGTCTTTTCCGTCCTTCGCCTTTTTCTTCATAACGTTCCTTAACATGCCGCAAATCGCTTCGATATTTTTGTTCGATGATGTTAGAAGGTTTCCGACGTTTACTCTAGTAATCTTCGTACCACATACTGTTTCTGCGTTTTCCCGTATATCTTCGTGCGCGTGACACTCAAATAGTGTATGGTTAGCCGAGTCTGATGCCTCGCAATACCAGTATGTAGGAGAGTCAGCCTTGCGGATCCTGTACAGATACTCGCCAAATACTCCATGGTCAGTCGTGATGTAGTAGTCCGTGTTTGCTTGGTGACATTTTATCCAATCTTTAATATTGGGTCTGAAAATCTTTGTCCATCCGCTATATGCTTCCCATCGTGTCTGCCATTGCTCTAGTACCATGTTTCTGGCCTCCTTCCGGAAGGAAGTTCCATTTTTATATATTTAGTTTCGTTCCTGGATCAGTAGACTGATCGGAGGTATCTTAGCAAGACACAGTGCCGCTACTGTTGGACATGTGCAGTAAGCCGATGCAACCCTGAATGCTAACTTCCTATTTATCCTTTCTCACATGTTTTCGTAATGCTTGAAGCGCATGGATCTGTCCCGGATCGGCGATGCGTAGAGTATAGTCGAATAAACTACCGAAGCGAGAAGTCTCTTTTTTTCCGCGCGAGGTCTTCCGATATTGGGAGTTATTCTGGTCAGATGCTGGATGATGCCAGTGGTTTTATCCCTGATTTCTGTGACGTACAAATTAAATACATGGGCGTTAAATACTCGGGCATGCGAATGACATCACATTCGCATGCCCTTCCACCCAGATTCGCCTCGCGGATGAACAAATTTCTTGAATATGGATATTTAATAGAGAATTACCTACCTAATTACCAACCTAATTTAAAATTTAATGGCCACTACCGACAAATTGTGAATAAAGCACTTAAGGAACTTTGTAAACTGTAATACTTTGATTCTACTGTACAATGCCCTGGTGAGGTCCCACTTGGAGTATGCCTCCACCATTTGGTCGCCCCGGACGCTGTCCAGTGGTGGCCTCATCGAGCGTGTACAAAAAAGGTTTTTAAGATATTTGTATGTGCGACGAAATAATGATTATTCTTATATGATCTCATATGCGTCTATGCTTAGAGATTTTCATTTCCAGAAGCTGGAAGAACGAAGGCAAATCCAAGCTGTGATATTTGTATTTAATATAGTTAATAACCTAAGATATGGCGATTGTTCGTTGATCAATTTTAGACCATTTTATGTACCAAAAGTAGGATTAAGAATGAGAAAGGAAAAACTATTTCAATGTGAAATAAATGGTTGTTCACCCCTTAATTTTATGCCCTTCCAGTGCAATGAATTGACCCTTAAGACTGATATTGATATATTTAATACTAGTGCTAGGAATATTGTTGCAGCATTTAATGTCATAGTCTAACATATATATGATATAGTTAAGTTTATATGATTGTTGTTGATTTTTGTTTGTTTACCCTCTCTTACATGTAATTACCATATACTGTGGGTTTGTAAGATTTTCTCTAATAAATAAATAAATAAAAATAAAAACCAGTGGTTATCAGTTACCATATGCAATGGCACCATTGTCCGAAAAAAAAATTACTTTTCCAACTAGGCACACGGTATATACAGTGTGTCAATTTTAAAACTTCCCACCCTTAATATCTTTCTTGCAGTTAAAAATATGAAAAATCGAAAAGACACGTCAATTTTATTTGTAAGGGGGACACTTTAAATTAATATTGTTAGGCTTTTTTTTTAACCCCCTAGGAAGGGGAGATGTCACCCTTACAATCTTAAATGGGAATGGGGGTCAAGTGGCACATCGTTTTAAGGGGCGTTTAATTATCTTTTCAGTGGTATCTTACCTTGTTGCTTTTTGTCGAGTGGTTTCTGAATAATCACGTTTCAAAGTTGCAGAAACAGTGCGTTAAAACAAGTGCGTTAAAACAAGGGTGACGTCTACCCCTCCTAGGGATTTAAAAGAAAAAGGCTAAAAATATTAATTTAAAGTGTCCCCTTACAAATAAATTTGACGTGACTTTCCGATTTTTCATATTTTTAACTGCAAGAAAGATATTAAGGGTGGGAAGTTTTAAAATTGACACACTGTATACTATTTTAATATGTATTATTTTTTTGTGTGTATACACACAAAAGACGACGAGCAAAGAGATAGGTAGTACCGTGAGGTCGAAGGTTCGCTTTACTGCCGAAAATTGAGTACGTGAGGTCAGCAGCCAGGTTAGTGGTCGCTTCGCTTAGTGGAATAAAAGACAATGAATGCATTTTTTATCGTTTCTTGTTGACCATTCAGTTACTTGTTAGTTATTAGCCTAAATTTTGTAGTAGGTACGCAGCACAAAGTATCCAATTTAGTTGCAACTTTTTTTCTCTTGTTAATAGAGATTTTCACTAACCTCAGTTGCTCCTTTTTCTTCTCTTGCTTCTTCTTTGGCAAAAAGGGCCTTGTTTTTCATGTTACGGGATGATACTGAAATCATTGCTAATTTGAATTTCGAGGTTTACGGTTTTTGTCAACAAAATTTCAAAGACCTTTCGAAAGCCTAAGAAAGTAGGTCAGTATTAAATATATTTAACATTACTGTTTTATTGTGAAATATTCTAACGGGAGCACAATAACGAATATTTGCTTAAACATTTAACGTGAAAGAGCATAAATAAAAACAATTATTAGCATATTGGGAAAAGCCTAACCCAGTTGCAACACAAAAAACGTTTTTTTTTAATATTCGCGACATTAAATTTATTAGTAACATTAGTCTTCCTTTCAAGTTGTAAAGAATGGCTATATAAAGTTCGGTGAGGTCAGATAATAAAAGAATCTGAAATAAGTCGGACAAGTGTGCCCCAGAAATTTTTAACGCATATAAGAAACATTTTTTTATTTCAAATAAAACAGTCAAAAAGTTTCACAACTCAATTTTTCAAAATGTTGAATCGATTGAAATTTTTAGTGAGGCATCTATCATTTCTAATAAAAACTTTTTATACAAGGTGTGTCATGTAACACAACTAAACATGGCCAAAACCAACTTTCTTATTTTAAATACAACACCCTGTATATTATTCAATTTTTGAATTCTTCGGAATCTTAGACATATTTCATGTACAGTGTGTCCCATTTTCGTGTGTTTTGTGAGGTTTCGTTTATGAGTGGAGATACAAAGATGCGGTTTTCACATCACTGTGCTACTTTTTTATGAAACTAAAGATCCTACAAACATATTTATACTAGTCCTCTTGTTTTTTCAAATACTGGGCGAATTTTTGAAAAGGTTGTATTTTTCAATCCTCTTCGTATCCCGGTTATCTTATAACTTATCGTTCCGTAAAGTTTTTAACGTAAAATTCAGTGGCGTAACTAGTTTTTGTGTTGGGAGCTGTCATTTTCAAAATATGAGTCAAACTTATATTTTTTTAAATTGTACACCCTGTATATATATATTTTTTATTTGCCCTAATGAGCTGTCTAAAATTATAATATACTCTATACTATTTTTATTGATCAGTTAAAAAATGCATTATATAACTTTTAGCACTCATACAATAATTCTACACATAGAAACTAGCGTGGAATAGCCAATAACCAAAATCTGACGTCGAGTAAATTATTTGATTGTTTCAATTATCTGGTTTAAACTAGCCGCCTGTGTTAAAGTTAAATAATACATTTACCTTATTTGTGAAAATAAGTATAGATTATATTATATTTTTAGAAAGCCCACGCAAGACAAATAAAATTAATAAATATATATACAGAGTATCCCATCTAAATTGGCGCCGGAAGTTGAAGAGTTGAAGTTGAAAAGTTGGTAGGCGGTTCTTTTAGTTTCAAAGTAAAGGAATTTTTCTTTTTTTTATCTCAAAAACTGCGACTTTGACTGATTTTGATGTTATTACAAATTTTATTGCAAATATTATTCCTAATATTAAATTGAAAACCGCGTTTCGCTAGCTACTGTAATTTTGGAGTTACGATTTTTTTAAATGTTTAACTCCCTCCCATACCCCCTCAAAAAACCCCCACCCCCACCAAAAACTAATGGCCAGTTTTTCGGGTGCCAGAGTATTTTTGTGTCAAATTTGGTTAAAATCGGTTTAGCGGTTTTTGAGTTATCGTGTTGTTAGGCAGACGGACAGACGGACAGACAGACGCCATGAAAATATTTTGTCTCTCAACTCATTTTGAGTGAAATTAAAAAAACTTTTTTTTTGTCGATCTTAATAGCCTACCATACCTGTTGGTATGGTCGGCTAGAAATATAAGTTTGGATCATATTTCAAGAAAGACAGGTACCAGCAAAAATCTTATTACGCTGCAAAATAAAAACACTACTTATTACGCTACTGAAAAAATTTCTTTGAGACTCAGTTTTCACCTTTTCGATAAGTTATAAGATAACCAAGATACGAAGGGAATCGAAAAATGCAATATTTTCAAATTCACCCTGTATTTCAGGAACTGAAAGGGTTAAGACAAATCTGTGTCTGCATAACTTTACTTCATATCTTTTAACATATTCTTCTCGTAGAAAAACA